ACCTGGCGGGCGGCAGCCGGGAGATGACGGGGGGGGGTTGTTGGTCTCCCGCGGGAAGACGGGCGCACCACGGCGTCGGCCCGTGCCCGTGGGCTAAGGCAGGCGGGTGCGCAGGGCAGGTGCGTATCCAACAGCTTGTCTTGGGTCTACCGAAACACACCTCGGTGCATAGCTGTTCTTTGTGGTTAGAACAACGTCACCTGTAGCGTCACCCTCGTTTTACCGTCCCTTCACCCGTGCATTACTTGTGAAATCTGTCTGATGTACAAAAGGCGTCGGCCCGTGCCCGTGGGCTAAGGCAGGCGGGTGCGCAGGGCAGGTGCGTATCCAACAGCTTGTCTTGGGTCTACCGAAACACACCTCGGTGCATAGCTGTTCTTTGTGGTTAGAACAACGTCACCTGTAGCGTCACCCTCGTTTTACCGTCCCTTCACCCGTGCATTACTTGTGAAATCTGTCTGATGTACAAAACTCCCCTTAACGGCGGGAGAGAAGGTGCTTCTGTCCAGGACCCTGACGTCGGACTCCTATGAGATTTGGTCTGGTGTTTGAAAGTAAGGTTTAGTTTCCTCATCTTCTGGTGTCTCATTCTGTAGAGCTACAACAGCAAGATGAAAGTTAACAGCTTGGGAGAAGTCAAGCTCAACTATAAGTCAAAACATCACCATATGCCATGCAATGTAGACAAATTTCATATTGCTGTGAGTCTTAAATGCTAATCTACAAAATACATGGACCTACCCAATGCTTCAACTGTTTTCTGTAAATGGCTGGTTTCCAGTCTTTGTTACTTTATTTGTAGAACACTGACAGATCTCAGCTAGGAGCAAAGAAAAACGGTAACTTGGGAAGTTTTGGGGAAGAGCTTACGTACTGTTTAAGTCTTTGAGGGTAAGTGATAATAGCATATTAATCTCAAATACGAGCTTGTATGTTAAATGTAACCTATTAATGTAAGATTCTATACCAGATAATTGTGTAAATTGTCTTAAAATAATACATACATGCCTAAGATTTCATTGCGTATCCTTGTCAGTGTATTTGCAGGCTCTGGTGTCAGCTTTGTGATAGGTCAAAGCTTCTGCTTCTTTTAATAAATTGGTCCTATGGGAAAAACCTATTAGCATCACAAGGTAATGCTTTGTCAGTTTAAAATTATTTTGTAAGGACTATTCGAGTGCTACTCGCTGACAATAACACTATATCATACTCGTTTTCCTGTAAACTGTGATTCTACTTCCCACTCGCAGCTTTGGAAATAGGTAAGACTATGCTACTTCTGACCCAATAGAGAACTTTAAGAGAACAATAGCATTAACCCTGCAGCTAGGCAGGGTTAATCTTCATCAAATTCATACCGAACTTCAGTGAACAAAAGAATAGCAGTGAACAGAAATGTACTAGTCATCTTACTACTTGTGGTGAAATTCTTAATTTTAACAACGGGAATTGTGCACCTTTTGTCACACTTGTTCTTTAAAAATTACTGTCTTTCTCATTAACCACGGTTAGATTTTTTGCCAGCGATTCTTAAATGATGGTCTATACTTTCTTTGCAGGTATAATTTATAGCTGACTTCTCCCTGTTTTCAGTGATTGATAATAAAAACTAAAAATACTATAAATATTACCCCACTATTACTTTTTCCATTGCAAAGCAGGAATGCTGACAAAATGAAACGTGGGAGAATATGGTACAGACAGTTGCTACAGGGAAGGAAGGCGCTCCTCCATACAATGCCTCTGTTGGAATAATGGCCTCTAAGTAGGGAGGTTTGTCGACCTCGCGTTGCTTTTGGCAGATGCAGGTTCTGCCAGTGCAGCAACCAGACAGACTGGATGCTGCGGATTAAGAGGAAATGTCTTCAGAAGGTAGAGCTCGTACTTCATACGCAAGTCCCTTCCTACTCCTATTTCTGCTTCCCTTGAAAAAACCACTTGCCTCATCCCTTCCCATCTCCATTTTCCCATAGAATTGAGGAAAGAAAGAAAGGAAAAAAAAAAAATTAACTGGTCTTTATAAAGCACAGGCTTAAAACTCTACTTGCAGTGTGATAAATTAATTAACATCTCTCTCACAGAAAAATCTTTTTGGGAACCACTCTTTTATCAGTCAAGGGACAGAGCAGCCATTATAAAATCTTCTTATTCCAACTTATAATATCTACAAATGTTTTCTTTACTGTGAGCAGGAAATTGGTCACTTGTAATAATGTAGAATTTTTTTCCCCCATTGCCCATGCATTTCCATACCAAATGACTGGTCTGACTTTGTAGAAATAATGTTGCTTGGCCAAAGGGGCCAGTGATTATCTACAAGTTAGTTGCCTGTCTTAGATAAGTGAGGTTGTGTGAAAGCAGTCATGATTTGGGGAATGCCTAAGAAGATAAGGTAAGAGAATTTGGTTATGGAAGCAGATAAAGCCAGAGATACAGAACCTAAATTATTTGCTTTTTTTTTACGTTTTTTAAATTACGTTGCCTTTGTGAGAGGTGCTCTAGTTTTGTTGGCCTTTTTCTAAAGGAAAGGGTTTGTGCTTATTTGTTGGTGTAAGTATTAAAACGTGTTATGCAAATACCTTTTACGCTCCTCTTGGTTCTTAAAAAAACCTGAGCAATACTATTTAACTTTACAAATTGAAGCCACTATAGCTTAACAGACACTTATTTAACTTACAACATCAAAAAATGAAGAATTACTGTTTATTAGTTATGGTATGGTTAGTTTTTGAGATTTGTGCTGAGCTCGTGTTTAGCTAGAAATTGAAATTTGATTGAAATATATAAACTATCATTTTAGTGTTTTGCTAAAATACTTGAAATTTATGGGCACATAAATTGAAAAATTATCAAAATACGTTTTGTAGTTAACCTAGATTTATTGAAAAAAGGGATATTAACTGCAGTTAATAAATTGGCAGGCCTCTTATTTGATCATGCATAACGTTATTCTTAGGACAAGCAGAGATTCCCAAAGGCTACAGGTGGGAGACTAATGAGATTTTCAGGAGCACTCCTGATGAATTTCCAATTCCTACTTGTGTTTTTTAAGTATCTTCTAGCTTGATTTTAAAATGTAGGTGTTTTTTAAAGTTTTTAAAACTACCAGGTCTGAATCTCTCCTACTTCTTTTTTTTTGCGTAGACAAAAGGAGGAAAATGAGCTTTCCTACCTTCTCAGATCCAAGTTTTCTTCAGTTTTGCATTAACTTGTTAAGATGCTTTTCTGGAGCATAGGAAAATGTTTTCAGGCTTTGGAGGTGTCACAGAAAAATAACTGTTTAATTAATGTAACACTTTTTCTTTTCATGTGGTATTATTTTAAATAACAGGTACTCCTATTTATAGCCAGAAACAGTCTCAGAGGTCAAACATTTAGGGTCGGAGCCATCTTATCCAACTTTAGTAATCTAGAAGTTAGGCGTGTCGTCTCTATCAGTCATCTAGGCTCCTTCTATAGATAAATTGGGATGGGGAGGGAAGGGAGGGAGGCAGTTCTGCAGGCACTTCATTCCATGCCGAGATACTCCTCCCACTATCTAAATCTCTTGGTCTTTGAAGGTGCCTATCTCTCCATTGATTGAAGATGGAGCCTGGATGACTAGCTCAGATTAGAGAGCAGACTTTTGGATGGCTGCAGTTAGGATGGGTTTCCTCACAACTGGCAGAATAAAATCTCTAAAAAGTGAGTATAGGTAG